CCTTCCACACCCTAAAGCCCCCATATATAAAGTCCCAGCTCACAACCCGTGGGCGGACATCTTTCCCTTCGTGGACATCTTTCCCTGACATCCTTCCCTTCCCTTCCCTTCCCTGACGTCTTTCCCTACATCCTTCCCTTCCTTTCCCTTCCCTGACATCGTTCCCTCTGCCGACATCTTTCTCTTCCCCGAGGGAAAGATGCCCCGTGCGAAATAAATCTGTATCCTGCTGAGAATTCCATCTGTGCCTCGGTGCCTTCCTCCATCTGCGCCGCTCGCTCCCGCCCATTCTCTACCTATCAGATGGTACCAAAACCCAGCTCTTACTTCAAGGGACCTCACACGTAAAACTTTCAGACTCGCTTGTCGTTACTGGCCTCTGCGAACACCACTAATTCGGCATTAAGGTACACTTCCACCCTCTATCTCTCTCCCCTCTCCCGTTCCTTTCAGCTCTCTCTCCCTCTCTCTCCCCCTCTCTCTCTCCCCTTTCCCCTTCACTACTCTCCGCCAATTCTCTTTTCATCTCCTTTCCAATCAAATTCGGTCACTCCCAGATCTCACTCATGACCACTGGACAGCACTGGTTTCTGCGACCGTTGAACTGCCCGGCACAGTTACTGTGCCTGTCCACGCCCACCTGGGAGTCAGACCTGCCTCCCCGTCACACTCAAATCCTTTTCCCTACCTCAGCTCCCTTACCTTTCTTGCCTTCCCCTAACATCTCATCTTCTCTCTCTCTCTCTCTCTCTCTCTCTCTCTCTCTCTTTCTCTCCCTCTCTCTCTCTCTCCTCTCCCTCTGTTCACTAGCTACTCTGAACTTCATCTAGGCCTCTCCATTCTTCTCCATTCCCGGTCCATCTCAGCCTCCAGGCCCACTACCTTGTTTCCTACTGGCTGGTCACGCACCACATTGCAGAACCTCTCCTTACTCGTTTTGCTTGAAATCACACCGGTGTGTGGGAGGTTCCGCCCTGCCTTTGACTACAGGATGCTGTGGTCACTGGCGGGGACATGCACAACTTGTATTTCCCACCCTCCCCAGTGATTGCAGGATGCAATTCAACTTGAATCAGCAATACAAAAAAAAGGACGCTTTTGTTTTGTTGCCTGATTCTTCTCGTTCTTGTTTTTACATGACCTAAGCCAAACCTTTCTCTTCCTGCTTTCTCTCTCTCTCTCTCTCCCCACACACACACTCCACCTCTACCCCCTCAGGGCAAAAAGTTTCTCTTTGTTCCCCTACCCACCAGCTGAGGTCTTTAACTCTCCTTTCACTTTCCACCTAATCCGTTGCTATGGGAACCAAACACTCAAAACCTCAGGGTCTGATGCCTTTGGCCTGCTTACTTAAATCCTTAAAAAAGCTAGGATTGTCTCACACTATCAGATCAAAACGGCTAAAATTCTTGTGTACCACTTCCTGGCCTCAGTACAAACTAGATAATAACTCTGTTTGGCCAAACACTGGAACCTTAGACCTCAATATTTTAAAAGATTTGGAAAACTTCTGCCAGCGTAACGGCAAGCAGTCTGAACTACCCTACATCCATGCCTTTCTTGCCCTCCGTGCTAATCCCTCCCTCTGTGTCAAATGTTCTTCCCACCAGGTCCTCCTGGCTAAGACAGTCCCACAAGATCCTGAAACTCCAGGGGCCTTTGCCCCATCCCTCCTCCCTACCGCTCTGACTCTGCTTTTGGTCCTTCCATACCTGATAACCTGTCCCCTATCAGAACCCAGCCCCAGGACCCCC